ACAAAGTAAGTGGGTTGCGGAGAAGTTGATCATGGAAGCTAAGAAAAGAGGGTTGAATGCTTGTATTGTAAGACCAGGATATATCGTTGGGGATAGTAAAACTGGTGGTATGTTTTTTTGTTTTTTTTTTAAGTTTAGAAATGATCTATTTACCTAAACTAAACTGGGGGCCTTAATTTTCATTTGTTAGTAACGAACACGGATGATTTCATTTGGCGTCTAATAAAAGGCTGTATTCAATTACATCTGATCCCAACAATCTATAATACACTTAACATGTGCCCTGTGGACTATGTTGCTCATTGTATTACAGTAATATCATTGTCGTCTGTAGCTTCTGATCGTGGTGTGTTCCACATAACACATCCAAAAAATCCATCATTCAGGTTTATTGATCTATTCAACTCATTAATTCTCTACGGCTATAATGTTACAAAAGCAGAATATGTAATTTGGAGAAATGAACTAATGGAATTTACATTACAACAAGAAGATAATGCGCTATATCCCTTGCTTCATTTCGTATTAGATGATTTGCCTACAACTACTAAGGCTCCAGAATTAGATTATAAGAATACTAGTGATATTGTTGGTCAAGAATGTATGGTGATTGACGAAAAGCTTATGGGAATTTATTTAGGGTATCTAGTTAAAGTTGGATTTTTAGACAAACCTGAGCCACATGACAAAGGTAAAGTTGGTGGTTTAGAAGGTAAGATTTTGGATTTACCGGACATTGCGGCGTTAGAAGGTGTTGAAATTTTGAAGAGAAGTGGGAGAAATTAGTGTTGAAATTTCGAAGAATAATAGGAAAAAAATTAATATATTAGAATTGATGGATCAGTAGTTTTTTTTTTTTTGAAAGGTATAGCTAAAATTATTTCTTAGATACTGCATTTAAATTTTACATCTTTTTTTTTTTTGTATTAAAAACAAATAGCTATATTGTATTATTCATAGATATCACGTTATAGATTATTAGATTATTAAAAAATAGTTACTGTTTTTGTGCATCATAAATGCTTAGTATGACTAAATAAAATAACAACTATGAAATAATAAGGCGAGTTCAATTATTGGTTGACTATAGAGATGCAAACCAAACTTATTAGGTTGGGATTAAATAAATTTCAAATAATATTGTTAGTTTTGCAAAATAATTCAACTTTCTATGTGTAAAATTAGGTTTGGAGCTTATTTTATATGAGAACAAGTTTACTTAGAATGTAAAGATATAATTAATTAGTAAAATTTTGAGGATTATAATATTTTTTATAATTTTATTAATAAAATTATGCAAAATGTTATTGATCTTAAATTTTTATAAAGTAAATCTCTCTTTAACTTCTAATTAAAGTTGTAGAGCGGTTAAATCATTAAAATCGGCCTAGTATATCATGAGATATAAGTATTTTTGTCTTGATGGCTATTTGTTTCTTCTTTATTTATATGAAGAAGAAAATATATAGTCGCGAGAACTAAAATACTTATATCTCGCGATCTACTGGGCCGATTTTAACGTTTTAACTGCCATTCTGATCGCAAGTCACTCTTCTACAACTTTTCTTAGAGGTTAAAAATAGGTTTACTTAGTAAAGAAAAAAGATTTTTTTTTAAAAACTCCAAATTTGAAAATTCTAAAGTGAAGATTTTTTAGACGGGTCAATTCACTACCCGTGACAAAATGTCATGTAACGGGGATAGTAAATATCAAATGAAGTGAATCGATTTTAGATTGCACAAATATGCAAGGCACCTTTTTATGGTAACAATAGCATTGATGGTTTTAAGGAGTTATTTGAAAAAAATTAATGATTATTCGTGTTGGCATAACAGGGTTAACGGCATCATGTTATGCACGAACTCACAAGTTACCGTGGGTTCGAAATCGAGTAGATGCAATCCCCTATTTCCTGAGTATTCAACTGTGACGGAATTAGGATAGAATGGCCTATATAAACTCGGTGCATTAGAATTATCATTGTTTTTTTTTTTTATGTTTATTTAAAACTAACATCAAGGTAGTGAAAAGGATGTAGGATTCTGGTCTAATATAGAAATTGACAAAAATAAAGGTTTTGGAGTAGGCTTCCTCATTAAAAAGAAATGTGTTAATGTACAAACAAAATAAAAAATAGTAATGAGTCTGAATAGCTTACTTAAATACTTAGATAATAAATTTTCTTCAAACTTCCCTACATTAATCATAGCTTGCGAGGATTTATACAAAAAATGTGTGTCAATAATGAAAATCCAGAATAAAAAGTATGAAAACACTTAATATTTATAAAGTTTTAGTAAGTTAGCACAAAAAAAAAGGATCATTTTTACTATTTTTCTTTTATATAATAAACTATTATTTATTTTAATGACAAGCTCGATTGATTAGAAATATTTTTTTTTTGTTTTTCTAACTGAGACACAAAAACATTGGCAAGAAAATATATATATATATAGAACTTTGCTAAAGCACTTTTAAAAAGAATAAATAAAATAAAATTAGGTTTTTCTATTTGATTATAATTCAGCATTATAGAAATTATAAAAGAAAAAATTATTTTTTTTTATATCTTTCTGAAACCTATAAATCAACATAAAATATATTTATTATATTAATAATATTATATAACAAAAATACTTCAATAGTTAGTGGTTAGATCTGGTGTATGGTAAAAATAATAAATTAGTTACTTCACAATTCTATTTTCTTGTAATGAAAAAGGCAAGTAAATCTAGCCAAGATCTATATATAACTGTCTTCTCTTGGATATTTTCTATTAATACTTTACTAATAGCTCTATTCTTATTATTTTTATTTTTATAAATAATATTCTTATTATACAAAAATCCTTAAACATTAGAAAGAATCTGAAAGAATAAATTTTTTTAGTAAATCACTAAACTACAATGCAAGTATTCTATTTTACTTAATCATGATATTCTGAATCATTTATTATAGGTTAATTAATAACAGGCCATGTTTTTAAGCAGATATTTTGTATACACCAATAAGGAATTTTAATATTTAAAAGTATAAGATTTATTTTTTTAATTCAAGGTATCCTTATTTGACTAATTATTCAAGATACAATTAAGAAGTAGGAAGACTAATATAATAATAGATTTGCTGTAATCACTAAAATATATATAGCTTTAACATTTAGCTATATAAAATTTCTTAAATTTTTTTTTTTTTTTTTTAATATTAAAGGTGACCACTTAGG